CTAAGTCATCAAGGGAATTTTCGTCTAAAATCTAATCACTACTTACTGACTACTGTCACTGTGTAGGGATCAAGCCATCAAGGGAAGTAGGGAACTTGATTATAGGCTCTGCGCGGCTCGGCCTGCGGAGAAAGAAGTAAGAACGGAGGGGAGGGGATCTCCGACAGACCAGTGTCGGGTGAGGTCTCGGGGTCAGGGAGGTGGGGAGCGCCAGCGAACAGTCTGTTCGTCTTCTTTCTATTCGTCTTTTTTTTTTTTGGACCCAGAGTCCAGACTTGCAGGGAAAGCTAGAATAGGGGGCGGGAGATTTTTAGTTTTGGTCTTTGAGATTTCAGATTTGCTTGGGCTGGCCGGCTGTGGGCTGTGGCAGTGGGGCTGGGTGCCTGGGTCTTGGGACTGGGGCTGTGCCCAAATAATTATTGATAAGAATTATGGTTGGGTTGGGTCTTGGGGAGGCAGGGAGGGCTGGGCCCGAGCCCAGTGTGCCCCCCCTGTATCCGCCGATGGCGTTAAGGTGTATTAACTTGCCTTACTTGCGAGTCTGCATGATGCAGTATTGCCCCTTGTGCGACCATTGCTTGGTGATGGATTCCCCTGGTGATGGACGCCTCCGGGTGACAAGATGCCTCCTAATGATGGACGCCCCCTAGTGGATTGGATCTTCGTGAGTCCGAACGATGCGGTTTGCCCTTTGTGCAGCCATCGTTTTGCTTCTTTGTTTAGCATTCGATTTCTTAAGTTAGAGCTCTCAAGTAGTTTGAGATTTCTCCACTAGCCCATTGCCGGGCGTGCTAATATGTAGGCCGTAACTGTGAGTTGTATGTGTTAAGTTGTTGGACCGCGAGATGGGCATGAGGTTGTGTGCATGTTAAGCGTGAGTTGTTGACTGGATATTAGGCGTTAGCTATGTGCTAGGGAGGGCGACCCTCACGACTTGAGAGTTTTAACTCAAGGCTACGTTTGTGTTTTGAAGATGCCACACCTGCTGGGAGGCGGGATCGTGTTAGCTATACCGATGTCACGCCTACTTGGAAGCGGATTCGGGCTTCTACCTCGAGGGGAAGCATCGCTTAGGAAGCGGGATGCGGTTTTATATCTGCGAAAGATGTGAGTGACTAATGCCCCATATTATTAGAGCACAAACATAAGCATAGCATGCGTGAAATATGTCATAGTATAGTGGAAATGATTCTCTTCATGGCATGACATGGCATATGAGATATATTTTGTCTAGCATGATTCGTAATAAGTATCTTCATGGCATATGATATAAGATATATCTTGAAAGGGAGAAATTAGTTATAGGAGACGCCGTAGAGAAATGGTCGACATAATGAGAGTCACATTTTGATTCACAAAGCTGATTGTAGTGCAATGGTATGCGCATCATCTTTCCAATCGTTGACGCGGGTTCGAATTGTGACAGACGCATCCAAATTTTCTTTTTAAGTGAGCGGCTTCTTGTCTGCCTATGGATATGGTGTGGATGTTGACGAGAGTGGAGGTGTGGGCCTCTGACGCTTGGGCCGTGAAAGTTGGAGACGTGGGCTTCAGTTCGTCAAGGCGGTCCGCGTTGAAGGTGAGTTATGCATCAGAGATGGGTCGGGAGGTTGACCGCTTTGAAGGTTGGTTGGCCGGGCGCATGGATCTTGATGCAATACGTGGTGGGACTTGGAATAATGGGCTTGGTCAGAAGCGGGCCTACATAATGGTTGTATTAGAGACGTGCCCTGGTCTGGATGTGTGCTTGGTGTGCTGGAGCGGACCGCATTGGTGATCTTTGCTTGCAGATATGGGCAGAAGGCGGTTCTTGCATGTTGGGCTGGGTGGATGCTGCACGGGCTACTTGTTGAAGGCGGGCTACTCTGTCGATGGATGTGAAGCGGCCGCTAGTCGGTTGGAAGCAGAAATAAGCTTGGATGCGAAACACAGCTTTCTAGGCGTGATGGCCCAATTGCAATGAGTGATTCTGAAGGTTGCGAAGCGGTCTTGTTGATTTAGGCCTTAGAGATGGGCCTCGGTGAGCGCGCTAGGGTAGTGAAACCCTTGAAGCAGGGAGAAAGTGGAGAGTCTGTTTAGACGCCCACGTTTCCCAAGCTGGCATCATTTGTACGAGATTGCCTCGGTAACTCCGCCAGTCTCCTCTTTTTCACATAGACTGCTTTTTCTGAAAAAGTAAAGTGACCTTTCTCTACTTTAGGTACATGGACAGGTCTGTTTTTTGACTTTGAGAGCCAAAAGTTGGAGAAGGTTGAGAACGAGTGGGTGACAGGAGCGGCGGCCACTGGTTCTTTTCGTCGTCGGAGCTCCGGCAATGACATATCGCCGGCGACCTTTTTTTTCCTGCTGCTGCTTTGGTCGGACTTTGTCGCGGCTGTTGTTGCTCGTAACTGTGTTGAGAGATGGGAGGAATTCCTAACGCCAAGATAGAGTGTCGAGTTCGCAAGAGAAGCTTTAAGCAGGTGGACTGTCCGACAAGGAAGCACACTGGAGAAGAAGATGAACGCTCGCCGACATGAGAGAAGGGATAGTTGCTTGAATCCCTTTTTTTTTGTAACGAGGCAAAGATGAAGCCCCTGCCAATAATTATTATTGCCTCACTACTTTCCTCTAGATCTAGGATCTATTCAGTGGGATTTTGTAGTCGGAGCCGTCGGTGGTAATTAGTGGAGGAAGAATCGATTTCTTCTCCTCCTTCAGATACCAAACGAGAAGAATACCAAATCCTGGCCCCACGGTGGGCGCCAAAATGTTTGACCCGGATTAGTATCGGGTGATTAGTGTGGAACCTTGATCCGGACTTCCTCGTCTGATCTCCTCAGGAGTGGAAGAATCATGTGGAGAGTCGGGGGCGGCCCCCGTGATCTACACTCCGATGCTCAAGTCAGTAAGAATAAATGATAGTGTGTAGAGAAATGTAGAGAGAGATAGGGTTTAAAGAGAGAACCATAAGTGGTAAAATGTGGGAAGGGAGAGAAGTCCTTTTGCTTGGAGGGTCTGGCCTTCTTATATAAAAGTCGGAGGCATCCAGTGGACGCCTCCCGATGTACTGGACCCTAGAATGGGCTTGAGCCCAAGGTGAGACGATTTGTGGCGGGTTTGGACCAGTATTAGGCGGGTTAATACTAGACCCAACAGTTACCTTCCGAAGGAAGATACTCTCGATTCCTCTGTTTGATGCTTGAATTGAAGGGACCAGGCTCGTAACTCCATGCCTGTCTTTGCCTTTCGAGCCTCTTCCAGGAGTTTCAGCGCTTCTGCTTTGACATTACCGGCATGTGAGCTTCCTTTACAACCTTATATGGCTTCTCGTCTGCCAGAATGATAGAGATTCCCTCAGCGACACCTTCGTCGGCTTGAGTCGACGATGGAAATCCTCTCGCATTGTGCAACGGAATCGACCAGTAAGTTGACATAGACACAGGCGGTGGTTCTCGATGATTTCAGATCTTAAGGCTGCAAATGCTCGGCAGTGAGCTTTTTGTTGTTGTCGATCCGGGTTTCTGGACAAGATTGTCGCCATGGACGGGGTTTTCTAGAATTAGGAATCTAGATCTTCAACAGTTATCGAAGTTGAATGAAGCGGCGCCTTTTGTCTCGAAACTGATTTGTCGGCTTTTCTCCCGATGTTGACGCTGACTTCTTTTCTCGTCGATTGGTCGGGCGGAGAAGGTGAGTTTCTGGTAGATGTGGTTTGCGAAAAAGTTTTGGGGAAGCAGGGATGGATCTCGATCTGAGCGAAGGACTGGATCTTTGCGCCGGCGGCTGAGATGGAGTGGAGCGAACGGTGGGTCGCTGGAGAGAACAGTGGGGTTTCAGTTTGAGAGGTTCTTCGATCTTTGCGGCGGAATGGTCTGCTGGGTTGTCAAGAAATCAGATCAAGCTGGCGACAAGACATGAGATGGGAAAATAAGGGATTTGTGAACGGAAATGGGTTGCGGGTTCTCAATTTGATTGGAATGATGAAGAGGTTGCGGTAGAAGGGATGAATAGGTAGAAAAGGTGTTGGGAGATTTCGGAAGATAGTGGGATAGTTTGGGATGTGATTTGGGGGTGAGATATGAAGAGGAAATCGTACCATATGCAATGGAGAAGAAGAATTGTAGTGTTTTTTTTTTTTTGGTTTATGATCTTCAGATCTGGACATAGTCCTTATTTTGTGGGTAGAAGGTTTTAGGGTTATCTAGGATCTAGAGGCTCTGATACCATGACAACAAAGTTGAGTTGTGGAAAATGAAACATTTAGTCCAAGAGTGACACTACAAGATATAGGTGTGTCACCTTGCTTTTGAAGAACAAAAGATAAAACATAATTAAAACTAAAGTCTAAACAAACATTGACATTAAACTAAATTCGATGATGATGATTTCCTCTAAACCTTGTCGATCCACTTTGACATTCATGGTCGTCGGTTTGAGTCTTGATGATCTTTCAATATCTCTTGTTAGTGGGCGAATCGTTTCTTGCCTCTCGTTTGTCATCTACCTCGTATACATGGAAATTGAAAAAAAGATTGAAGTTATAGAAATGGAGAAGATGACCATAAGACTTAGGATTGGGAGATGGGAATTGGAATCTAAATAATAAGACTGAGAGGAAGAATAAAGAATCATGATGGCTTATTGGGAAGGTAAGAATCAAAGATGGGATCAAAATCGTCCACTCAAGAGCTTTAGAATAAAAAAGAATGTGAAAGGGGGAGCTTTTTGTGGTCTCGGCGAAAATGGGTCACAAATATGGGATTGGGAATTGGGTAGTTAGTAGATTAGAAAGGAGGCGACATAATTTCCTACTCCCCAACTGATATATGTGTGCATTGCGATAGATCGGGGCGAGGTCGGGGCGGGTTGAGGTCACTACCAGACCTGACCTGGCCTGTAGCGGGCCGGGCCAAGACCCTCCCCATTTATGAGCGGGTCGGGTTTGACCTGTCCCAAAACAGGCTGGGTCAGGCCAATATTGCCATACTTACCACAACCCGAGTGAACCCAGCCCACACCCGCCGATTGACACCTATGCGGTGAAGGTATTTGTCGTTTTTCGAGGCAGCTTCTTCCCCTAAGTTGCATAAGTTCTCTGCGTGCGTTCCAACAAAAACCTTCCCAAAACCCTCCCTCCCTTCCGTCATTTCCTGTACTCGGGGACCTTATCGGCGAACGGCGAACCCGAGATAGGCTATTTCTCAGTAGCGGGACAAAAATGGGATTGACGAATTTCATCCTTACCATCGCCGGAGTCAGCGCGGTGGTTCTCCTGCTGAGGAGCGACGTCAAGCAGTCGGCCGTTATCCTCCGCCGCAACGTCAAGCACATCCGAACCTGGCTCGAAGAAGAATCTGCTGCCGCTTCCAAGTAAGCCTCTCGATTTTAGGCAGGGGGAAAGTTCGATTTCCCACGTTAATTTTGCGCCGTTTGTTTGAACTTCGATTTTGAATCCAATTTCTGAATGAGAATCTATTTTGCTTCCAAGTTCTCTCCTCGGAAATGGGCTTTCTTACTGGGAATATGCTAGTTCAATAGACGCATAGCGGTTTGAATGGGTGGGTTCTCGATTGTTAGGGATTGGGAAGCGCTTTTTACCATCTCTTTTGTGATTTTGAAGATGAAATTTCTGTTTCGGGAGCAAGCTAAGTAATGTAGGCTCATTGTGCTGCTTTCTTTCTACTTGAGACTTGAGAGTCTGAGAGGCTCAAGGAGAATAACATGGTGCCTTAGAGGGTTTGGCTACCTTGTATTTTCAATTGCTTCTTTAGAGGGTTTACAGCAGCTCTTGGAAATATATAGAGGTGAGTGAAGAACCATTTTGCATAGGAGCGGATGTGTGTTCATAATCCTGCTCAGTCTATGACTCTATGTTATGGAGGGACAGAGTCATGTTGTGGATTTTTCATTTTCCCACTATATGGATTGCTGTTGCGAGGTTTAGAAAGAGAAGATGGGGAAAGAAGTAGTTATTCATAGTATTAGTAAGGCATTCTCTTGAGAGATGGCTGCTTGAATGTTTACGTTTTGCCCCTCTTGCTGTCACAGAAGGGGGTACAGGACCCTACTTTTTCTCGGGCAATTTGGTACACTTTCGAGGTCCAAGTAACAGGATCAGGTTAGGATTATCTTTGTTCTTAGGGGAGAAATGGTGGGAAGAACAATCCTTTGACAATCTGGAAGTAATTTGATCATTGTCTTTAGTTTCTATTCCTCTCTATGCTTGGTGATTAGCATATAGTCAATAGCTATATAATGACTCTCTACTAGCGACTTCTACAAGCGTAGTCCTACCAACTGTAAATAGCCTAGTCTTAGGGGGACTCGAACTGATTAATCATCCAGTTTGTTCTATTTAATTGTATTCCGATGAAGGTGCACAACACACTTTTAGGCGGCTGTTGGTCTTATTGAAGTTTAGGTAATAAACTATCATGTGGTGAAACGTGAATAGATTACGCCCAACTGCTACGTTGTTGCTCATGTGATTGTTTGATCCATACGGAAATGGGACTCATGGAGAGATTGTGATTTTGCTCGGCTGTTCTGTTAGCTTTTACAGTCTACTATATGTACTAGGAGTCTCTCAATCTACAGGACTTAATTTGACCTACTTATTATTGACAGAGTTAAGTTAATGTAAAGAGAAACTTATTGAAGGGTGTTTGTGATAATTTTTCAGGGCTGATAAGGCAACTCCGAAGGAACTAGAAACCAAGGTTTCCCCTAAAGAAACACACAAGGAAGAGAAGCTCTAAGCAACACCGAGTCTCAACTGCAGGGAAGCTTGCAATGTCTAGATAGGCATCCCAGGAGTCTAGTTAAGCTACTGTTAAATAGTTTCGGTCCAAAAAATTTATCGATTAATTGCGATAGCAGATATTTTGTCGAATTCTGGTCTCACTTTTCTCTTGTAATTCTCACTCATTAAATTTTGTTCAAACCTTGAGATGATAAACCAATCATGGCATTAAATATACCTAATGTGGATTTTGCCATATTTAACGATCCTCTTAGTGTTGAGATGAACAAATTTTTCTAGACATTTTGGTCAAAGACTCTGCAGTCTATTAAATAAAATACAGGTGTGATTATCAAATAGGAAAAATAAATAGATTATCAAATAGAGAAAAAAAAAAAGAGATGATGAACCAATCATGGGAATATACCCAATGTAGATTTTGCCCTATCTAATGATCCTCTTAGTGTTGGGCTTCCATGAAAATCATAACGACTCAAGCCCAATAACTAGAGCACTTCTATTATGTTATATAGTATTGATACTTTAATGTATAATTTGAAGTTGTACCATAACATTAAATGTATAAGTTTAGGTTGTACCATAAAGCAATTTGTACCATTATGTTATGATTCAACTTTACAACTTGAAGTTGTACCATAAAAGAATTTGTACAAAAAGTATAGGTACAATTTGAAGTTGTACCATAACGTTAAAGGTACAATTTCAAGTTGTACCATAAAAGCAAAAGCCTATAGCATTGGTGCTATATAGCATCGTAAAATTTCTCCAATGACTAAAGGTTGAGAGCTTCTAGCGATAAGGAGCTGAAACCACCTCAGATGTTTGCAGAGCGATAACTTACCTAGCTAAGGTTAGGCCCTAGGGGTGTCAGGTGTGCAACGGTTCAATCCAGTTCGTTGGACTAAATCAAATTCATAAGAACTGCAGTTCAATAATGAAAGATATCTTAGCACAAAATACCATATCAATATTACATTCACTTTGATTTTGTCTAGTTTAAATGTCAATTCGATTATTTTTTTAACGAGAATAATCAGGAGTTCTACTTTCTTGGCTAGAATAACAAGAGACTATTCGTCAATTGTAATTGCTTACCTTCTGTCTTTCTTTCTCACGTTTAAATACAATCCAAACGGCTAAGACTTGAAAGTCCTAACAAAGTGGAACTACCCACGACTACATGTTTCCCTACTCTTCCTCCACGTATGGTAGGAATTCTTATTAGACACAAACACAACTAATAACTACTACTGCTAAGTGCTAACAAACTGGAAATGACTCCTTCAACAAATAAAGCAAAACCCAAAGACTATTCCTATAATGGCAGCGACACATGGACTTTTCTAGAAATAGCATTGTTTAAAATTAAATTCCAAAAATAGCACTCAATCCCGAAAATTTTAAAAAATAGCACAATTTCTCGAAAACCACAGGGTGGGCCGCGGTTTTTGACAAAAACCGCACGAGTTGGGGGTGGTTTTGCTGACGGCATGGGGCCGGAGCGGTTTGGGTGCAAATCGCACCCCCAGGGGTGGTTTGTAATAATTTTTTTTTTCAAATAATCACCATCAGTGGTCTTGGCTTAACTGGTTCTGTTGTTTCTCTGTATGCAAGAGGTCCTTGGTTGAAAACACAATCATCCCATATTATCTTTTTATTTAGTAAAGATTAAAAAAAGCAACATGTTGGTTCGAACCTCATTGCCAGGCTGATGTTGCTTTTAAGATCGGAAACCTCATTACAGCTTGGCTCCTGGCTGCGGGCAAAATTGAAAGGCAGGTTGGAGAAGAATGGATTCATAAACTAAAGGGGCTCTGCTCCATAGACCTATGCCACAACGACTTGGCCATTGAGACGAAGAAGGGTCATTTACTTGTTTCTCAGTTTTGTGTTCGGCTGGGTCGTGGTTCCCGAGCTGTCGATTCCCTTTTTCCTGTACCTTTGTTTTTTTGTCTTTGCCCTTCCTTTTAAACTCTCTTAAACTTTATTTAATTAATGAATTTCACCCTTACAAAAAAAAAGATTAAAAAGCAACATGTTGGTTCGAATAGTGATAATATAAATAGTTAACTAAATTTAGCACAACATCTAGACCACCAAATAACAACTTTTTTGTTTAAACAATTACATATTGACAAAGTTTTAGTCCTTAAATAGTGTTATTTCTGGAAAAAAAATCCGCGACACGTTTGGATAATGATTGGGCTACACAATCTCAGTAGTGTGAATTGGCTGGGGCTCTTAAGCTGAACATCGATTGGGCCGAGTTGAGTGATTCCTGGGCTCATTAGAGGACACAACTTGTGACCGCAATCTAAACGAAAACACGGTTTTTTATAATTTTCGGCGATCGACAGAAAATAATGATACGATCGGCCAGCTTCCAAACCAAAACATTTTGATAATTAACCAAAGCTTGAAATATTGCCTTTATTCGGCTATTAGGACTTTCCAACACAAGCTTCAATATTGATCATCATCTATTAACCATTTTCTCGGCTATTAGTTCCCGCCTCTTTGCCTTTTTAATAAACCAACGATCCTACTTAATTTTACCATTGAGCTTCATGCACCAGTTAAATTAACAAACATAAACATGGCGCAAAACCTTTTCCTCCTTTCTCTCTTGGTTTCCCTTTCCGTCGTCGCCACCCATGCCTCTGCCTTGGCCGACCAAGTGGTAAACTTCATCGCCATCAATACCACGCCGAAAACAGGCGGCGGTGCTATCTTCACGCGCCACGTCGGCACCAACTACACCTCTCACGTAATGTCCAACGCCACGAGGTTCATATGGGCGAGAGTTTTCCACGAGACAACCAACGGTAGGCGTAGAGACTTCGCCAACGTGACTTAGAAATCCAACAACAAAAATTAGGGTTACCGAGCTGGCCGAGCCGCGGACTAGGTCGCTCTTTTTAAGACGTTCGCAGCACTGCCTTCGTTGCGCACGGCAGACTATCAGTCGGTCGCCTTCAGGATAAAACAACCACTCTAATTTTGGTGCTCATCGGTTTTGTGCGAAAACCGCAGCTCTATGAACTCACTCTCTCTTGTGATTTTGTTCTTCTGGGGTGTCTTTAGAGGGTCTAGGGGACTGCTATTTATAAGAGCAGAAAACCAAGAATATTCCCTCTTTCTTTGGGAATAAGCCACATTTTAATTAGGAAGATAATTACTCTCATAATTAAAATGCATTATATTAAGATAATTAATCCTAATTATCTCCAGAATATTCCTTTCATTAATTATCCATCTTATATTCGTATCTAGAAAGAATACATGATAATTAATTCAATATAGTTTTCAAAGCTATTCATTCCCAACAATCCACACTTGAATAGTTTTGAAACCATCTCTGAGCATCAACAGATCCATAAGATCGGCATAAGCTAAGGTATCGCGATGATTTTAACGTTAGCGTAGTGGTTACACTTCCGATTTCATAAGGGTGACTCATAGTCTTGAACCGTATCTCAGACAATGTAGCACACCAGATCTTTTCATTGAGTGATATTCTCTCATAGGCCGTGCGTTTATGGCCATGCACGTTATTCCGGTTTAGTGAACGCTCTAGGAACTTTCTGTCTCCTAGTTCCATAGGGAGCGGCACCACTCCCACATTCACATAGGTGAGTCTATCAGAAGTACCCCCAAAGTAAAGTACTCCACCCCACATAGGGTATAGTCTCATTAAGAGTTGTTAACTCAACCTCCATTGCTTAGGGATTCATGCTTCACTACGCATGAACTTTTGGCATACTACTCATGACTTGTTATTACCCATTGAACCCATTTCTTGGGATCTCTAGTCTATTAGGTCGGGTTACCATCACTTGTAGTCCGTGGTTCGGTAGGCATAGTCTCATACCTTCGTGGTATTTTGGACTTTTCTCTATAGATAATCCTTTCGTCAAAGGATCAGCCAATGTAGTCAAAAGTGAGTTTCCACGTGGAAATCTTTTGGTGATCTAGAAGCGTAAAATCGTAATTTTTTAAGTTTTAAAGCGGAGTTTTTAACTACATAAGTTGTAAAACTAAGATTTTGTGTAGAAGCGTTTTAGTGACCTACAAACGTTAAATCGTAAGTTTTTAAGTTTTAAAGCGCGATTTTGACTACATTGGGATCAACTAGATTCTGTTAGGATCTTACATGATCCACCCTCATTGCTCCTATCGTTAGGAGTTCTCTAACAGTACTGTGCTTACGACGAATTTGTCGTCTCTTTTCGTTCTAGAACTGAATCCCTTCTTTAGCAATAGCTGCGATGCTATCACAATAAATCAACTACCGGAGGGATCGTTCTTTCCCATAAGGGAATCTCTAGTAATGACCCTCTCAATCAACTTTTCTCTTTACTAGCCATTGCTAGCTCTATCATTTATGATTTCTTAGTTGATTGAGCCAAGATCGTTTACTTCTTAGAATTCCAAGACACACACTTCCAGTGATGTTTAAACATGTCCACTGGATGCCTTGGAATCTTCTATAGGGTATTCTCGTCCGCATCAATATGAAACTGTTCTCTTAAGGTGTCTCATGACCCCTTTCAATAGAATTTCAATGCTCATACTAGGACAATCAGTAAACTTGCCAAGTACCCTCACTATGTTGGGTCTCATGTTTGTCAGCTGTCTCTCGCAGACTGTCGTTGCTAGTAGTTATTACTTTCTTACACCGACTTTGGTGCTCTTTTAAAAATTATAGTAGCATTTTCAAACATTTAGGCAAGTGTACAACTTGTATTTCTTATAGATCTTAAACAAACAGTTAGATTGATCTAAAAAAAATCTCTTTCACTTTCCTAGTCATTTGGATCTCTAAGCATAACACTTAGATCCTTCTTATCAAGGTTCTCACTCAACACGATTTTCACATTTATTCGTGTCACGAGTCTTTGCAACAAAGATCAACATGTCTTTTATAGTGCAAGTGTCATTCTCAAGTTTGTAACAAATACACTTGTCACTTTCATTCAAAAACCATGAGAGAGAACCTGATATTCATGCCACTATTTTGAGTCTATTTCAAATCCTATCATGATTCGTCTAACCATAGACTCCATAAGCATGTTCAAGAATAACAACCTCTTAGGTTGTCCCAAGTAGATTCTTTATCTAATTCACCATTCACAAAAGAAGTTTAACATCCATATGATGGTTGTTATTCTACAATATTGGTGAATAGATATCGAAGAAATCTATAATTTTTCCTCTTCTCCTAAAGCCTTA